CACTTGTGGATGACATCTCAAAGAATTCAGGTTTCAAACAGGTCCAGTGATCAAAACAGGCTGATGCACCATTTCTCTTCTACAAAGAGGTATAACAAGGTTGTAACTTTTTGGTTTTTTTCTGTGCAGACAAGATAGGAAGGAACAAAGCTGCAAAGGAACTTTTTTTTTTTTTTTTTCAAATGACTATTTTCGGTTTCTCATTTCAATCACCGATCAAGTAAGTCACTCAGCTTCAATTTTTCTTAAGCACTTTTGTGTTCTTCTTCTGGTGACTCACAAAGTGTATAGTACAAGAAGAGGTCTCCTGTGAATCTAATCACAGAGTGAGAAGCCTACAGACCAGACAACCAACCTCAAGGCCTGAACAAAGGAAGCATATTCATTAGAAGTGTGCCTGTCATTCCAGGTAGGCATCACTTAAGCATTCCTTCCCCATGGGAAGCCACAACGGCTGCCTGCACCCTTAGCATAATATGATTTAATGCATCAACTTCTCAATTGGCTATTTCAACTCCCAACTTTGTCCACTATAAATGTTCCCTGACACTTAAGTATGTTAATACAGGTTAACAGAGGAGACCCAGAGACCCTTCAGCCACTTCTTTATCTAAACTCAGAAACCTGGAAAACTCCACCAGTGCTTCTTCCTAGCAAACGTGCAAAATAAAGGTAATCTGAAAGAAATGCTTCCAAATGTTAAGAATTATCAACTTCATCAAGCCTGTCCTGTAATTGCCTGTTCTGAGTTAAGGAGGAGAAGACAAGAAGCATGCTGCACACTTGGTGCATATGGCAGGTACGCACACACACCCTGCAGCCAAGGTACCCTTTAAAGAACACTTTGACACGTTATGAGTCTTATATAGTAAATTTTTAATGTGTATTTTTGGCATCATACTTTTCTAAACGGCTAAACATTGCATGTGATAAAGAAGAAAGTGTGTAAGTGCTAGAAACAAAATGGAAAACCTGTAACTAGAGCACGAGGAAAAAACCTATGAGAGTAAGAACACTGAGCAACGCAAATACAGGCAATTCAGGAGCAGCACCTGATGACTGACCAGATGAAGGATCTTACTCCTCTGCCTTTTAAATCAATAGGCATTTCTCCAATTACCTCAAGTATTACTCCAGGATGCTGGAAATTTCTAGTCTTTATGGGATGGAGTGGGCTTATCCATAAGGACTTGAAAAGACAAGGAATATTCTTCAAGTTAAATCAAATTTTAGGAAAGGTAGTAACCAAGGAATTTTAATGTAGCTTTTTATTATACTAAAAGCCAATAATCTGAAATTTAATGAGATTTCACAGTTGTGACCGAGACAAAGTACCTCCAAAACCAACAGCAACTGAAAAAGCAGCAAGGGGACCAGCGCTTTTAAAGTAATTAAGGAGCGATACCACCCAACAAGCTAAAACCAATTCATGTTGCACCCCCTGGGAGAAGAGCTTTGACCTCACCTCCATACCTGCCATGAGCACCTCGACACCAAAGACAAATTCTCCAGTTTCTTGGAGCTCTGCAGCCTCTTCCACACTCTTGCACTTCCCCCCACCACCTTCTTTTAAGAAATATTGCAGTTTATTTTCTCCCTCAGGAAAAGTTTTGGTCCCCCCTTTATTTAAAAAAAATACTGGAAAAAGAGAACTCACAATGGACATAGCTTAAACAAACTGTGACAGTTAATTTTCTCAACAGACTTGTTTTTTGGGTTAACAAACCATTTTCCCAACAACACTAAAGCTTCAGGTTACACTCCTTCCCTTTTTTAAGTTAGAATAAAATGCTTAATGATAGTCATGAGCAGAGAAGAAAAGAAAGTTTCTAACTAGCCTCAGCCAAATTACAGACTTGCTTGAGGAAAACACATAAAAAGCAGAACATCTCTGAAGTGACCTCAAGCATATAAAGTAACTTTGCTCATGCCACGTTTAACCTAATACATGTTTTATATAGTTTTAAAGTATTCATTTATTCTGCATTTTGGCTTCATTCCTTAAAAAAATACTTTGACAAATAAAAAAGCTTTTAAAAAATGCTAACATATTTAATTTGAAATAAATTGAAGGACAAGTTTCCTTGCTCTCTGAATATTATTAAAGTAACTGTAGTCAATTCTCTCTGCTAACGTAATAGACTCTTGCTTTTTTGGATTCTCCAAGAAAATCAACCTTATGCTTCTTTCAGCAGTGAAAGTTAATGACAAGGAGTTTAAGAATGGTGAATAAAGATAATCTAGTGTCTTCCTTTATGTTCATATACTTGTACAAATTTAATGATAGAGAAGCACTTAAATTGCTACTGGAGCTTAAGGTGTCCACCCCAGCTCATGTATTTTTTAGAGGCTGATGCGTTAAGCTATTTTAGAGTATTCCCTGCATCCAAAAGTTCAAAATTGTTATATTACTGAAGACTTAAGGAAATTAGAGAACATCATACTCCTACTTTTAAATAATATACCATCTAATTCTAATTAGTAGTACTAGTAATTTTCAAAATTTAATTTGATTTTCAATATGCACATGATTCTGTTGGTAAAATTAAGTTACTATGAACAATGCAAACAGAGAAACTTACTTTAGCCAGGTTCCCATTCCCATGCAGAACTGTGGAGGTGAACTATCTACAATTTGAAGACTACAAAATTCCTTAAGTAGCAACTAAAATTGCTTTAGAAAGCATTGTCTATTAATAACAATTCTAAAGTATTTTTAACAAAAAGGGTATATTGTTTGGTTTGAGTATTTATCCAACTTCCTTCAAATTACATTATAGTCACAGAACAGAATTACTGTTCTTGCAAATACCACAAACACTTCAATAAAGATTCACTCTTACGTGGATGGTTAATTCACTGGGTGAGTCAACAACTCAGCTCTGTAACCCCTAATGCCACCACTGTAAGAAAATTCAGAAACTTGGCCAGGGAGTCCTAGCAAAAGACACAATCTCTCTTACCGCATCTATGACTTCCAATAGCAGAGGCCTACTAAACAGGGTCATAAACAGACCCAATTGCAGAAAGCTAAGGCTGGGCTGTTTCAATAATGCTTCTAAGTACTAAGCATTAACAATGGAGGAAAATAGTGAAGAATATAATAGAATGTCCACATCTTAAATAAAGTCTTCCAGTCAAAACTGCTATTCAAAACACAAACCTAGAGCTCCAATATTAATTATAGATGAGATGCATGAGTCAGTTCATTACTGTGCATGGTCTACAATTAGCCCTTACTGCTGGAGAAAGCAAGCTCAGTATCACTGTGGCTCAACTCAGCTCTACAGCAATTGAGATGGACGGAAAACACAGCCCTAAAATTCTTACGTCATTCTGCTACTCCTGGAATACCCTCCTTTTTGAACCGTACACAGTATTTTGACTTAAAATAAAGGGCAGGACTGACCAGGGCCTTATTCAGAGATGCACAGTGCCTCTAAGGGCTAAAGAAGTCCTTCAGTGAGAGTCTGCTAATAACTGAATGAACTGGGTATTACTGACCTTTGTGCTGCAGACACTTCTGGTCTGCCACAGTGCAGCCACACTTCTGTTAACACACACATCAGAAATACAGCTCATTGTCTTACTGCTTCTAGGTAACATCAACCTGTTCATAGTAGTGATGGTAAAAAGTTAATTTTAATACTTTGTTCTATTAAATATCTATCAATATTTCTGAAAATTAAAAAAAGCCCCAAATCACCATGAAACTGTAAATGCAGCTAAGGACCCAGCTCAAGTCCTAATTTCACTCTCTCATTTTCTCAACAGAGAGCACAGTATTTTTATCATCTAGTATGAAACAACACAAAGAACTGGAGATGTTTAAACTCACATTTCCTAATTAGCATTTCTGAAATAAAATGCTTTATTTTTTAATAAATATTTTTTCCCCACATTTATTGTTTTAATGTATTTCCATTTATTAAAAAATTTCCTTAGTTACTAATGAGTTTTAGCTTTAATCAGATGATTCATTACTAATACCATGAATGCTCAGCTAAGTACTTCAAAAAACTCCAGGTAGGAAAATTTGTAATGTAAACTGCTGAGGCAGCTGAATGATTTTTGGTAACCTTTGCTTCCAATAAACTTGAGCACTTCAAGACATGCCGTTCAAAACATATAAAAACATTTTCAGCACCTTTTATTTTGATTTATATTTATATATATATATATATATATATACGCACGCAAACACTGGGAAAGATGTTCTTTAAACACTGTCTTTGTAGGGTTAGAGCTGAAGTCTGTGACTTAAAAATCAAATTCATAGCTGGAAAAAGAAAACAAACAACCCTGATTTTTTTCCCTGTCTCTAAGATCACAAGTTAAACTAGCTCAGGATGCTAGCAATATTAAAAAACACTGTGAAAAGTAACAGAACAAGTTGACACACTTTCAAATGTGACATTTTAAACAGCACTATTGCCTCCCCAATTTTTAAGTCTTCAAGAAAAAAAATAAACTGAAATATTTCCTGAAAAGTTCAAACTCACGTTCATGTTTGTAAAGTTGAGAGAATATACATCTATAGAATGCCAAACCATTCATGCTGATGCTTGAACATTTTTTATAAAGCTATCTCATGTAACATTCACATTATAATCTGAAAATTTTGCATTTGTCCCCCTAGCCTCAGTATCTGCCTATCAACTAACAAGCAAAGTTAGAAATCAATGATTTTTAGACTATGAAGTTACACTTACAAATACTTGAAACTAGTGACAAAAACACTCATTTTTTTTGAGATCTTAATGGTTTTATTCACAAAATAAACAACTGCTTCTTTCCAAAGGAAGAATTTAACAGAAAGACTCAATGCTACAGTTATAAAAAAGTGGTACTGAAAATTTGAAAATGTCTGATAAAATTTACAAATGCAAACTATCACTTTGTACAAAATCTTTTCTTTTTAAAGAAAGTTCAGTAATAGGCTTTAAAATACAGTTTTAACAGCTCAGAAATGCACACTAATTTCCAAATCTGGTTAGGTGCTATTTTCGTCTGTGTGGGGAATTCTCCCTCCGTCTATCCTCGTTCCTTCTGGACTCTCTGTACTCCTCAGAGTACCGGCTGTACTTCTCTCGGTGCTTCTCTGAACCATTTCTGTATCGCTCTTCTTGTTCCTCCTCTCTTGGACTTGAATTATTATGGCCTCTCTCTCCAGATTTTGATCTTTCTCTTTTTCTACTGCGGTGTCCATTATCTTTGCTCCAGTGTCTGTAATTTTCATTATCAGAAAAAGAAGCTTTTCTCTCTGCTTTCTTTGGTTTTGAATTACTGTGTTTATTTTCTAGATCCTTACTTCTTTCGTGGTTCCTATCCTTTCCACTATGGTAACTGTCTCTGTCATTGGACCCATCTCTGTGATGATATCTTGATATATCATCCCTCCTGTGTGATTCTCTCACATTTCTATGATTTCTTTCTGATTTGTTCTCAGTATCACTTCTTTCCTCTTGCTGCCTCCTTCCCATTTTCTTTTCAGGTGACTTCCTTCTCTTTTCTTGCTTTTTCCTGGAAACTTTCTCAGATTCTCTGTTTTTCTTTTGCATTCTCTTTCTTTTAGCTTTAGGAACATCTGAAATTATAACAAAGACAGGAATAAAGTTGTATTTTAATTTATTATGCTTAACTACATAGAAAGCTATATTGTTATTTTTTGTCAGAAAACTTTGTGGGTATGTGTCTGGACAAAGGCTGCAAAATAATGAAATTTTATTTTTATTGCTCCCTCTACCCCAACTCTGTGTCTCATGTAATGAGGGAAAACTGACCCATTCTTTAATTAATCAGGTACTGATAATTTTAAAATGCCATTTTGCATTACAAGTGTTTTATTTAACGTAGAGCAAAATTTTCCATAAAAGTACAAAGTAGTCTATCAAGCCCAGGGCTACTCTTCAGTAGTTGTCAGTAACTCTGCTGTAACTAACACAAGAACCTCATATTAACAAAAAGCAAGGACACAACATATAACCCCAAAACCTTTAGAGCACACGTGAAAGAAATCAGGGAATAGCCTTCTGCACTTCAGCTCATTTACAATGCCTATAAGATGCAGCTCAAACCAAAGAGAAACTTCTTCCTCAGCTTACAACAAAACTGAAATCTGCACTAGAATGCAAAACATTAGTAAGCAGTCATAATAGTGTTAAAATAAAGTAACTCACTACATAGGAAGCTGACACAGGATCTGCAAACCTATTGACACAGGAATTTTTTGGTGATGTATAATATCCTTTCGTATTTGAAAATATTTGAGATTTTATATACTGAAAAAACTCCATTAACTTTCCTTCCCCTTTCTCCTCCCACCCTTTAAGAGGGTGTGGGATGATTGCTGGAAGTGTGTCCTGGTTCGAGCCGTGACAGAACCAATTCTCTTTCTAGTAATTTCACTTCTCAGTTAAGTTTCTTCTAAGTAGCTGCACTTGCTGAAATTTACAGCCAATTTTCAGTCACTGTCTGCTTCTGTAACTGATAAACTGCACATTTGGAGATATGATGCCTGGACTTTCCAATAAGCATGGAAATCTGGAAGTTCTATAGAACCAACAAGTCTTTTTTTTTTATCCTTGGCCAATAATCTGTCCCTTTTTTGGACAAAAGACTGTCCTGTAGTGAACTTTTCTCATTATAATACTAAAAAACACACCTCCATCCCAACAACTACTCATCTCCAAGGGGTGACCACCCTCACTGAGCAGCACTCTGAATTTTCTCTAGTCTATACCTTTCAAAGCGAAGCAAGAGAATTTTACACCATCATGACAAAGGTATGCATGACTGGAGTCCCCCAAGCTCTACCTGTAAGATAATGGCCTTAGAGGAGAAGGATGCTAGGAAAGATACCACCATGTCAAACTTCGCCGCTGCAAACTCTTAAATTAAATTAATTTACTTTTCCAATTACTTCCTGGAAAATCTTATCAGTCAACGGAGATTAAATATGGCAGATAGGGAAAAATCTCCCAACACTATCCTACAAGGAAGCAGAGGCATGCTGAAATGGCTAGAGACAGTGGTACCACAGCAGCCTAACAACGGCCCTTTGGCTCATTTTCAGAAGAAACAGACAGCTTTGTCAACTATTTAAGATTAAATCTAACTCCTGTATTTGAAAATACACAGTAGTGCTCATGTCAGTGGAAGGGGCCCAGATTCCACTCAACAGTACTTAACAGTAACAGCCATTTAGAATAACCATTAATTCACCTCCCTGTATCAACCACAGTATCATAACATCTAAAGGTTTCTAATCACCTTCTGAAAATGCCACAGCTAGAAACTGATTTAATAGTCCATCAAATATCTGAGTTCTACAGCAGCTGTCTAGTCTCGTGTCTGAGCTGTCTTCCTGACACCCTCATAAAGTGTGAATACATTAAGATTTTTAAAACTGTTTTCCCTATAATTTTACATCCATCAGAATGTGGAAAAAGACCTCAGAAATTAAATACAAAGGAACAAGCTGCTGTGGTAACAGACAAATTTCGTCCTCTGCTGGACCTGTTTTGATTGGAATAAATTATCCAGAGCAGTGCTGTGCTGAGTTTGCTGGTGAAGTTCCTCACATCAATTGTAAGACACAAATCTCTAATTTAGCTGTATGCTCTATTTCCAATCAGCAGTTTTTTCCTCTTCTGTATTGCACTGTTAAAACAATAAAATACTGCAGCACCTTCCTCTGAAAAATGCCTTTCAATTCTACGAAGTTATTTTAAAGATTAAAAAAGCAGAAATACAGGAAGACTTAGAGTTACGACCACTAATGGACCTCAATCAAGTTTACATTAAGGAATACAGTTATCTCCAATTAGTGTTCTGACCATTTAAGTACACAAGAACCAGAAAAATAAAGTAAGTGAAATTGGGCTGTAAAGATACAAAAATGTAAGTTTTAGTGAGTATGTTTCTAAGTGGAGAAAGTGAAGGAAGGTCCTAAACTTACAAAAATAAAGCATTCTTACTAGCAGACTGCAGACTCAGTTGGTTTGTCACTAAGGACTTACCTCTCTGGTCCCCATCAAGTAGCTCAGCAGAGCTGCAGCTGTCTATGCCAGAGCCATCTGGCTCTCTGCTGAACTAACACCTTCTCTAACCCTGTTTATCTGTGCCCTCCTCTAGTGCTTTGTCTTTATTAATGTCATGACACACAAATCAGACTTTGTACAGTAAGACTGCAAAGGAGAACAAAAATGCATTTCAAAAGCATGAGCACTGTTTTTATTTTATTAATCAACATTTTTCAGTTCAAAGGCACGTAATGAATCAAATGAATATTGAACCAGCAAGCATCTGAATTATAGACATCGTGCTGTGTTATCATCTGCTCATATTATATACAATGGGGGAGACTGCACACACTAACTCATACTAGCATGTACTTTATAGATTTAGTAATGTCTATGACATTACATCAAACAGAAGGTTCTACATCAGCAGCATGGTATAAGACGGTAAACACTAATTATAATGCATAAAATTACAAAATACTAAGTTGTCAGCAAAAGCTAATCGGAGATTTCTCTACAGACAAGAACCTTCACTATATTGCCACACAAAGTCTTTCTGAGAAGAGGAATTAGGAACAGAGAATCAGAAGGAGAATAAAATTTGAACACTTTGCTTGAACTGAACGTCATTTGTGAAAGATGAAGAGGCAAATATTTACAGGGAAAGACACAAGTAGTATCAGTCTTACTCAAGTCAAGCAAAGAAGAGTCGTAGACATTCATATCTACAGTTTAACAGTAAGCATCCCACAGATACATTAATAGGGAATAACTCTAATCCCTCCATCCTCCACTGAAGTGATAGTAATGTATAACAAGTATCAACTGTGTAAAAAAGTAACACACAAACCAATGTTCTTCAGATATTAAATTCTTTAAGAGGGGAACTAATTTCTTCTGAATTATATAATTTCCTTAAGCAATATTTAATATTTTAAAACATGTAATTAAAAATATTTTTAAATGCAAAGAAAATAACACCATCTATAGGTAGTTTTTCCTCAAAGTACATATAGAAATAAATAGGTGTATAGGAAAGAAAAGTAAATAGTTATAAGCAGTGTTTAAGTACCTGAGTCACTGCTGTCACCACTGCTAGATGAGGAGTCACTGCTGCTGGATGAGTCTGAGCTACTACTGCTGTCAGAATCAGAATCTGAGGAAGAGTCTGTCTCTGAAGATGAAGAGGAATCTGATGACTCAACATCATGTTTCTGTGTCATTATCATCTTTGGTGCATTTTTAAGATGCTCTCGTAATTCATCCCTAATTAACAAAAAAAGGGCTTGAAAAAATTTGCTGGGTTTTTTTGTTTTTCTTTTTTTTTTGCGGGGGAGGGGTGAGAAGGAAAGCAAATATAAAATCAGAAAAATGTTCCTTACGTTAGTCCTCCAAGTCCAATAGAAGTGAAGAAATTGATGGCAAAGCGAGTGTTTCTTGGGTTATCCCGAGGCAATAATCCCTCAAAGAAAGGCTGCAATGTTCTGATGAAAACAAACATCTAAATTTAACACCGTGTCAGCTTAGCACTAATTCTCATTGACATTAATAAACTTTAAAAGAAATTATATGATCTCCAAAGGACAGCAAAACTTCTCTTCATGCATTTTTCAATACTTTCATTGTCTGTATTGTTTTATAGGCTTGATCTAAATGCTATTTAAAAACTCGCTCTTTTATGAAAACAAACTTCTTCACACACAGAAGCATTACATACATACTGTCACATTATGACAACAGAAAGCCTGATTTTGTCAAGGCCTGAAGAAACTTGTGAAATCTCAGTAGGCTCTGATAGCAAAGGATAGTACATGCTGACAAAGAACTTCCAAGATCTAGGTACCTGTGTTGAAATCCCATCAAACATGGCCCTAAATATAGTTCAAGTTTACACAAGTTACTAAATTATTTAAATTATCTACTAAACTCTTCATCACACATAGAAATCCCAACTTATAGAAAACAGCTCAAGCAACTGAAAGGAACATTGACAGAATGTAATGCATTAAATCACACACAGGATTAAGTGCATGTATAACCTATACTTAAGGATAAGCAACTAATCCTAGGAAAACTGTTTATAATAGTTATGTGCTTTTATAAATATTTTTTTTCCGAAAAAGAAGCAATAGTAACATTTATTACACAGCTATATAGCTGACAATACATTAAAATAGATTTACACTTGGAAAATCCTTGTGCAAGCTGAAGTAGCACTGGGGAAAAAAAAATTATACATCTTGCAAATAATCATTAACATACTTGAACCCAAATGGAGGTAACAGGGACTATGCAATGATTAACCTACACATGAACTTCTTCTTGAAGTACTGCAGCTACAGAATTGCAAACTTAGCTGAACTTCAAGTTCTTATCTGCACTTTATCAGATAAAGAAACTAATTCAATTTACAGTTCAGAAAATAAAAATTGCAACTTACACATCTTTTAATCTTGCATTTAGATTAGGAAGTCCCATATATTCACTAAGTTCCTGAAAGAATATTTTGACAAAAATTCTACTGGAGGATGTAGTAGTTTCTTCACTCAGTATTATACATTCAAGGACCTGAAAATATTTAGAAAAAAAACCCTTAAGTTTAAGCAGACATTATTTTCTTTGTCTTAAAAACTTCTGTCCCTCTGAAGTAACAAATAATGACATTTTTGTTGTTTGGGTTTTTTTGGTTGGTGTTTTGTTTGTTTGTTTTCCAAGAACATAAACTCTGTAATTCCTAGTCATGAGTTTTTTACTCAAAAATTCTTTTCTACCACCTGGAAGCAGTTTCTGATCATATTTATGCTAGTAATTATTTAAGGATTTATTTTATCCAGAATAGCTCCTAAGAGAAAATCAGGTGGGTAAATTTCTGAGAAGTTAAAGATTTGGAACTTAAGTTCTGAAGAGGTGAAATACTTGGACTGACTTGTGTGTGCCTGAAGAATCACAATTAGACTAGGCTGTGAAACAAGAATAGAACAGCATGAAAAGAGGAGTACCTTTATATTTACTGCTTCATTTATGATATCTCAGAATGTAAGATTTATTTTGTTTGTCACTAGAGTAACAAAATGGCAGTATTTTTATATTGCTTGTCTTTATATATTAAACTAAAACTTTTATAAAAATTATTTAGAAGTTTATTCAGGGTTGCTTTTTAGACAGTTCTGCTACTTACACTGTTGAGTAGAAGCTCAAAATTCTAAACAAAATTCTATTTTAAGCAATCAATTCCAGCTGAGCTTCATAAAATAACAAATCGACTACCTCAGAATGGGGAAGGTAGGATGATGATGACGCACAGCAGGAAGAAAGGAGATAAAGCAACACAGAGTTGTTCAGCAGTGTCCAAGATACTTAAAATAATCCAGTTTGCTACAAACAGAAGTAGTTCCAAACTGCAGAATAAATACTAAAACTAATGTAAGATAGATTATTTCTACTGAATATGAATTACTGAAAAATGAATCTAGGACAATAGCCTTTTTTACTTACACTCCAGGGAATGGAATCAGTGTACAGTAGATGAGCAAACATTTTGGCAACATTCCTCAGTTTGTTCGTTTCCAAACGGTGAATGGTATCATATTGTTCTTTGAAAATAGCTTCAAAGGATTCCATATATTCTTTTTTTAACATGCAGAAACGCTGAGACAACATTGTACAATTTAAACAACTAGGTTAAGCAAAATATTAAACATGCAAATAACCTACAAGTAAGTGACTTAATGGTGCAAATCTCTACTGAAACATTGTCCTTTAAATAACCCTTGGAGGAGAAGAAAATACCTTCCAGTTGATACATTTTATTGCTTTTAGCCATTTGTCAGAACAAGAAACTCATGTGCATAGTGAACTGGTAATTATCAATGTTCAACTACAATAAATTATCCAGCAACCTGTTTTAATTCCATACATCCAGTATTTTCACCTCATGTAACCCTTATCAAACCTAATTTTTTTTCATTACATCACTGAACGGCTTTTTAAATTAAAGAGGCTGCAGCAACAACCACAGAGGTATGACACTTTGGACATAAGCATTCCAAGAACATGGAAATTGACATATACATTCTACTGAATGTGTAGCTTCATATGGTTAGTGCTTTGTAACTGACTGTCAGCAGAAGTATCTCCTCAAATGCTGGATAAAAAATACAAATCAAAAAACCCACTCTCTTTCACCATAACTTGCTCCCTTGAGAAGACAACCATTTTATCTTAACTAGTCAGACCTGTCAGTATCATATATAGGGAAAACTTACTAAGAAGTAGCAGAAAATATTACAGCAATTAGTTACACAAAGAGCTAGCTGTTTACTGGACAAAAAACAAAACACACACAACCCTGACAGAGCAAGTATTCAGTCTTGTGCTCCAAATAAAACCTACTAAGCAGCTTAAGAACAAAACTGTAAAAGACAAGTCTTAAAAAATTAATCTCTAGCAATGTAAATACGGTATTTTCTGGCAACTCATAGTACTTTCACCTCTTTTTAGTACCATTCCTTTGCCACTTTATTCTTCTATCATAATGAGAAAAAAGGGAGGCAAAAAAAACCCCACTAGAAACAGAAAGTGTGTTTTCTTGTTCAGCATTCACTGTTTATTACAATCAAAATGTTAATGCAATTCACTAATACAACCAATCAACTAATACAACCATTTTTAAAATGATTCAGAGACTATTAGTTTTTACTTGTCCATTAAAACTTAAGTTTGACACACAAAAAAAAACAGTAAGCCAATGAAATTACCATGAAGTGTAAAATCTAAAAACAGAACTCACCCCTGCCAGTAACCCAAAGAATTTCTCATATGTTCTTTGCTGAGCACAGCAGTCAAGTATCATATTGCAGAGTTCTTTCTGGTTGAAGAAAATAAGAAATAGGTAAATTCACTGTAGCAGAAAAAAACCATCATTACTAAGCACCAAAATATTGAAGAAAGCCTTTAATGGATGCAAGCTTTGAAAATAGAGCATTTATATAAAACTTCATTGGCAACACCAGCAGTTTTCTGAATTTCTCATGTTTCAGGAATTATCTGGTACACAAACATGAACTTTTGCCATTCAAATTCCTTCTTCTGCTTAAGCTACAATTTGTGAGGTAACACACATCTAACTAAAAAAGGTCAAAACTAATGTACAAACTGACTTACAGTCAAAAAAGAAGGTATAAGATGAAAAGATAAGGTTTTGAGGAGGTTTTTTTTGTGGTTTTGGATCTTTTGCTTGTTTGTTTTTATTTTGCTGGTTCTGTGTAGCTTTTTTTAATAGCACCAAACCCCACATTTATAGAAAATGAAGATATTTCACAGTTTCCAAATGTTAAAATAGCTTACAGACAAGCCACTTGGAAAATAAGATAGAATTTACATGCTTAGCAACATAGTTCCAAAATCAAGAATATCTGTAGATTTTCATATATAATAGTATCTTTAATTATTCAGCCATAATTTTCACTACAAGCTCTGCTAACCATAAACAACCAGAAGGCAGCATTTCACTGAAATTGCTTCAGCAGAGAGGCCTGAGGGTGATGTGCAGAAAGACTAACCTTGACCTTGGGAGGCCAGTATGCCTAAGACTTGGTTTATAACCAAGAGAGTGAGAGGAACTTGTCTAAAGTTGTTATATTCATGTTCTCAATCACTCCCTAGAAAAGCATCTCTATTGCTCAGCTAGGAAGGAGCAGAGGAAGCCTAGCTAGATTAGCTTCCCAAAACTTTTGTGCATCCCCATCACTAAGATCCTGCCTTCCATTCTTCCCCATCTTCATGATGGACATGGACATAAGCATTATGGCAGTCCCACAGAAGATACTCTCTTTTCACTGATACCAACTATCTAGAACAGTTCCAGGCTTTCTGGAATACAGGTTGTTTGGCTCCCTTTATCCTTGTTCCCCAACATCATCACCATCATTATTGGATCACTCTCAGATAGCTACCTCCTATTCTTTCACACACCAAACCAAGAACCAGAGGGAAACACCCAGGAGTGGGATGTGCTTTGTACCCTGCCTCTAGGACCAGAGACCTTCATCAGCTGAAAGCAGTAATCTAGGCAAGTAAGCATGCATGGGTTTAAAGAGCTTATTCCTCTGGCCTACTATCTAAGTTACAGATTGTAATAAAGTTATGAACTAGTTTAGGGCATATTTTGAAACATTAATTAAGACAAGTTAAGCAAACATGTTTATATAAACTATAAGGCATGAAATACATAGTGCTTAAATATGACTGCTGTTTTTGCCCATTAACATTTGTTATTATTTTATCATAATACTAACTCCATTGCATAAATTCATTTATGACATTCCCAAATAGGTTTTTTGCTGTCAGTCATGTATCCTTCATGATCAGTTTACCCTCTCTTGAAACCAATAACACTCCCATAAAAATTACTGGATAATTTCAAGCATTTTGTCCCCTTTATATATTACTCTAGTTTACTGTCACATACACTAGATTTCATATTCTCCCACTTGTGCCATCCTTACAAGCATGTAATCCAAAAAGAACCATTTTGCCCACCACAAACACACAAAACAAATAAAAAGCAAACCATACTGAACAAGAGAAAATCTCCCTCCAAAAAACAAGGCAGTAACATATAAATCTTACAGGTGAATTTAAAGGCATTTCTTGCAACATTGTCACACTGTATTAGTGTGATGTATTAAAATGCATATTAACTTTTTATATTATCCTGTCTTGCAGTAATGCTGCAGTTAATCAGTTTTTAAACAATAAAAAGGGCATAAAGCTTATGCCACTGCTAATAATGTCAGCAAGACCAGAAAAACAAATTACTTTTCTTCCTCATCTTAAATGCAATTACAATATTGGTATCCCCTGTGGTTTACAGTAATCAAATATTTTAACATTTTAATTAAACACTACAATGATTTCTAGGAGGGTATCTTGAATAACCACATGAATGAAAATGGATTTGCCCACAAAGACATTCTTGCTAGTGTTATCAAAATAACTTGAAGTTAGGTCTATAGTAACTCTCTTCCAGATTAAAAATGAACAAACTTCAAAAGGAGTTAATTATTTTTTGAGAGATATGACAAGTTCACATGGCAAATCTAACTTCATTTATAGCTTTAAAGGTTAGTTAACTCATTTCTGTACTCCCAATTATAACACTTCTGGTGATGTTTATGGCAGGAAGAGGCTGTGTTTTTTAGTCCATCACTTCCTTGAAAGAATGCAATGTATTTGTTTCCCAATTTTACAGGAAATTTATATATACTTCCTTGTTCGACTGCTTTCATACAATGCTCAACAAGTGACTATTCAGCTTAAAGAACATACAGCTATCTCATAATGAAGTAAAATGCTTTGAAAATATCTGACATCACATACAGATGGAGAATGATCTTTTGTAAAGATATTTAATTCATTATTGTATCATGGAAAAAAATGTATCACTCCCCAAAACTGCTAATACAGAAGATAAGGAGAAAGCTCCCTCTAAATACACTGTATTTGTTACAGTTCTCCCTAAATATTCCCTAGTAGCTCTTATCAAAATAGTGCAATAGTTTAGATGGACTGTGGCTCAACCGAACATGCCAAGTATTATCATATATTTGAAGATGCTAAAGCGTAGACTAGGAAAGACAGAAAAATTAGGCTAACTTTTTTTCCACAGAACTTTTTTAAAAAACAAGCACACCCTGCCCACTCTGTATTCCCTGAACTTTGCACAAAGGTGATGTTCATTGCAAACAGAGGAGATAAAGCAACTCACTTTTCTCACACCCTTCTGATCATGGGTTCCTTTTTACAGTTACTACCTTTTTTTCCATCACTTTTTCTTCCCTTATTTTTTGCTGTTTCTTTAAGATTTGCATTCCCCTAACGCTGCATTTTTCAAACTGCCCCACAGACTGCCTCCAAGAACAGGTTTCCTCTTCCACTCCCCAGTTGGAAGCACTGTAGTTTCCACATCCCCTCTCTTGCCAGCCTCAGAACTGTGTTGCATCATTGCACACATAAGCTGAAGCAGCAGTGAGACATCCCCACCCTCTAATCTAAGGCAGCTGCTTAAAATATAAATGCCTAGACTTGGTTTCTACAATCACACACAAATGAATTAAAGCAATTGATTTGCTGGGAGTAAACCCAGTAAAGGACATAAATTGGTTTAAATCAATATAAAATTGGAATTGTGAAGTTAGCGCCTTGCATTTTAGACCATTTGCACTGCTTTTACAGATAGGACATTTTCCTTTTTCCTCTTATTGCCTTAAAACTTTTTCTACTATTGCATATTTTAATGTGCATAACCATTACATATGCTTGTTTTTTCCAGCATCTCTCCTCTTTCTCTTCCCTTATCTGTGAAATTACCCCTTAAAGCTGGCAAAAGCCATGGCTGGCAAAGCCATGGAAGGTGCTTCAGGAACAGGTGGCCTCTTGGCAAACCATATGCAACTTTTTTGGCAGCTGCTATACTCTTTACAGGTCTGTCCTGTGTTTGGTCACCTAATGGTCTTTCTAAATTTTTATTGTCCCTTTCTTTACCATTTTTTACCTCAGCTTGTTTTGCTTTTAGAGCAAGGTATGCTCAAAGCTGAATATGGTTATCAAAAACATCACATAAATCAGACCTACAGTATTTTACACAGGAATCATTAACTGGATACAAGGGTAGATGCATCTTTAATCATGCTGCTACAAGTCTGCAACACACTCAAGAGCCTGGTGAAACAATACATTAAAGTCTCACAGTGGCTGCTTCCCTTCCACTTGAACGCTGCACATGCAAAACTTAAGTGATGCCACCAAGGTAATCTGAACAATTTCATCACCCTAGGTTAAATGCATACATACATGTTTGGAAGGTCAAAGCTTAGTCAGAATTCTTGTTAATGCCTGTTGTAAGTAACACAAAAATAGTGTAATTCTGTACGTCCTCTATACCTTCATTCTGTAGATAACAACATACACCAGAATATATGCAGAAAACACAATGAGCTTCCCGGTTATGTAATGAAACCAGTTATTTTCACCTAACTAGTGTCTTTAATGTCATAATGATATGCAATTTTGGAAAACTTTATTTTATACTTATTGAAGATATTTTAACATAAATACCACCTGCCAAATTTATTTTCCAAAAAATACAATTAAGTTTTAAGAACTCAAGATAGTTGAAAACTAGTCTTAAGATTTTTACATTAAAAAAAAATTATTTTCTGGTAAAAAAGATCAGTATAGCTGAAAACTTAAGCTCATTAAAAGTTTCAAACATATATCTGATAGATATAATCTATGTAAAGAATATGTTCTGGGATGTCATCCCTAATAGGTATATTTTCTAAAAGAAATCTTTTATTCTATTACTAATCAGTTCAATTAGTAGATATTTTGAATAATCTGTATGTTTAGATGATGTCTTCCATCACAGTTCAGCTCCTTTGTGTGATCCACAAGCCTATTAAGAGTAACCCCATGACATCCTTCAGGTCATTAAAGAAATTTCGAGTCAGCCAAAGCAACTAGCTCGTTCACATCTACTATTTAGAAACTGTTTTCAATTATAAATGTGTAATCTACACTATTACCAGAGGTGAATGAAAGAGTGAAGTGACTCAACTAATGGGTCTTCCAAATTTAAACTTGATAACCAGATTCTGCACCTAGGTGTGCATTTCCTGATGTCCACAACTTTTGAAGACTTGAGGAACAGACCTCAGATTGCTTTTTGATTTGTGACCTGCACATCTCTGGCACCACATATATTCTTACAATTTTAAAGATAAATTTCACAAGCTGTATAAGCTAACCTACATATCTTATGTACTCAATAAACACCCTGTAAATTGATGGACAGTATTTCCAGGA